CTCTAAATCGCAACCCTATTGTGTCCCCTCTGGCTCTGGAAGCTTTTCTGTCCCTTCAATAAATCCTGCTTTCTCAATCTTCTGGCCATCCATGTCCCTCATTCTTCCTGGGCATGAGATGAGAACCCCAATCTGAAGAGCTGCAGGAGACTGTCAGAGCCAAGAGCTGTGCGCCCTGGAGGCTGGCTTCCCAGCTGACAGAGCCGGCTGAACTGGGAGAGCTGCCAGCAGAAGGTGAGACTCCGAAGCCGAGACCCTCCTGAGCCTTGGCTTGCCAGCCCACCAAATCAGCAACACTCTCAGGCTAGCTTGCCGGCCCATTAGAGCCAACACTCCAGGGCAAGGCTTGCCAACCCATCAAGCTGACCCTCTCTGGGGCTTGGCTGGCTGACCCACTGAGCTGACACACTCACAGTTCAGGCCAACCTGAAAGATCCATATCAATGTGGCACATGACTGAAGTGTGTCTACTGTGAGGATCATGAGGTTCGGTCTTATATTTTGTTGCTTAGTTGGGATACCTTTTTTCCCCTTTCTTTTCTTCTCTTGAGTTGGAGTCTCACTTTGTTGCCCGGCCATTGCAGCCTTGACCTGCTGGACGCCAGCGATCCTTCCACTTCAGCCTTCCAAGTAGCTGGAACTAAAGGCGTGCGCTACCATGCCCAGTTAATTTTTCAATTTATTGTAGAAACAAGGTCTCACCATGTTGCCCAGGCTGATCTCGAACCCACGAGCTCAGGCAATCCTCTCGCCTCGGCCTCCCAAAGTGCTGGGATTATAGGCTTGAACCACCATGACCAGCTGGGATATTTACATTTATATTTACAGTCTATTTACATTTTCTATATTTACTAGCACAATTACTAAGATGATGGTGTTTAACTTTGCCATTACTGACGTAACAGCCTGAGTCCTGCCACCTTGCTTCTTGCCTCTGTGCCCTCCTGCTTGCTGTTACCTGCCTTCCTTGGGAGGCATCAAGTATTTTTATCATTATAATTTATCCTCCATTAGCTTTTTAGGAAAACTTTTATTTTGAAATAACTTCAGACTTACGGAAAAGTTGTAAGAATAGTACAAAGCACTCTGCATGGCCTCACTCCGGTCCCCCGTTTAATCTTCCCCCACACCTGCCTTTTCACTGTACTTTCTTCCAAACCACTGATAATTTGAGTGGCAGGACTCAGAACCCTCTGTCCAAACTCCTTCCGTGTATATTTCCCAGGAACAAAGACATTCACTCACATAACCACGGTGCGATGATCAGTCCTGGAACATGTTACAGATATGATGCTATTATCGAATATCGATATCCCCCAACTTATGATGATCTAACTTAGGATTTTTCAGATCCACCATGTGTTGACTGGGATGTAATCCCCTCAAAAGTCGAGGGCCATCTAGACTTAGGGTTCGTGTTATGATTTTCAGTTGGCCTATCTGGGGACTAAGTGGATTTCCAGCTGATGATATTTCTGACTCACAGCAGGTTTATCGGGCTGCAGCCCCTTGAGAATCAAGGAGTATCTGGATGCCACGTTCACGTGGAACCACTGTCTCTACGATGTCCTTCCCCAGTCCAGGATCTTATCAAGGTTCACTCATTGCAGTTTGTTGACAAATCTCTTTAGTCTCCTTTAATCTGAAATTGTTCCTCAGGCTTACTTTTTTTTTTTTTTTCTCCTTTGGCCTTGACGTTTTTGAAAAGGTCAGACCAGTAATTTTGCTGACTGTCCCTCAAATCATGACACCTCTTGGGATTAGGTCAGGTTAGCTTGGTAGAAGGATGAACACGGGGGTCTGTGCCTCTCAGGGCGTCCCATCATTGGCTGTTTTAGTTCTCGTCACTGGTTAAGGCACCACCAATTTCCTTCGATATAAAACTACTGCTTTGATAATTCATAAGCAAGTTGGGGAAAGACTTTGGGGCTATATCACATACTGTTCTCACTGAACTTCGCTTTACTGACTGTAGCCACCACCGATGGTTCTGACCTGAGTCACTTCCTACTGTGACCTGGCACTGTCTGAACAATGCGCCAGGCCTACAGCAGTTTAACCCCAGTCCTGACCTGGGGGCTGGTATCGTCATGTATTTTCTCGATGTCACAAGCCCACAGGGCATAATGATGGCTGCAGTCTCTCATGTCCCCACACCTTCTGGTACTTTCTGTCCTTTCCGGCATGTTGTGCTTCCCTCCAGGGTCATATTCCATTTGCCTGCAGACTGAGTATTTTTCTGGAGGGCTAGTTTCCTGATCATTCATTTTCTCATGTTGTCTGAAGTCTTCAACCTTGAAGTTTACAGGAAAAAATTCTAGGCTGCAGGGTTTTTTTTCCCCCCTTACCTTACAGACATCGCTCTATTGTTTTCTGGGGCCATGGTTTCTACTAAACAGTCACTCAAAGTCTTACTTATGTTCTTCTGAATACAATGTGTCCTTTTTTATTCTGGTTATTTAAAAAATTAGTGTCTTTGGTTCTCAAGAGTGTATTTTCTTTCTAGTGATTCTTGGTGTTTGCTGAGCTTCCAAGATCTGTGGGTTGATGTCTTTCATCATGGTGGGAAAATTCTAGACACAATCTAGTCTAATGTTACTTCTGCCCCTTTCTCTTCTTCTGTTCCTGGGATTCCTGGAATAATAATTTAAACTCTTGATGACACCCCAAATTTGTATTACCAGCTGCTTTATTTTTCCTTTTTTCTTTCTCTGTGCTTTGGTTTGGATTTTCCTGTTTACCTGCTCACTATTCCTGACATATGCTGAGTCAATACATTATTTAATCCATCCACATGAGCTAATTTCAGATACTGTCTGTCAGCTCCAGGTTATCCATGTGATAACTCTTTTTCATAGATTCCATCTTTTATCAATTTTGTCTGTCTTTTCTCTATTTCATTTAGCACACTGAGAATAGAGACCTTGTTTGCTGATCTGTTGTCTGGATTATCCAGGATCTGCTTCTGTTTATGTTTTCTCTTGATTATCTGTCATGCTTTCTTGTCTCCTTGCATGTCTAGTAATTTAATTATATGCCAAGCTTCGTACACACAAGAGTCATAGAGATGACAAATGATATTTTTACTGGGGAAAGGTCCTCTTTCCTCTGTTAGCAGAGAAGATTCAGAAGTACACCCAGATAGTGAGCTGGGTCACAGTGGTTGCACAACTCATTCCACCCCTGGTTCAGGTCTGCCCTTCTAGACTTTTGACCAGGAGCCTGGCAGATTTGTGTCCTCAGCTGAGAAAGATGGAAAAAGAGCCAAGCCAGCCCCTGGGGGTTTTGATATGGGATCACTAGCCTCCTGTCTCACACAGAGTCACAGGAGAGCAAATGTCTTGAGGGTGGAGTAGTTATGACTTGTGGAACATCCTTCCTCTAGCAGGACTTTGTCCCCTCAGGACTGTGGGAGACCTAACTAAGCCTTGAGAGACTCCACTCCAGTCCCAGCTGAAGCCCCACTCCGGCAAATGCCCCATGGTGGAACACCAGTTGTTCACTTGGAGCTTCTCTGTTTCCAATTTGTTGAGCAATCCTGCATGACACCAAAAGCTCCAGGCGTATCTCTTCCCCCACCTGGGCTCTTTTCCCTGGGCGAGCGCCATTCTCGGCCCACCGCCAGAAATGGCTCTCTTCTCTCAGAACTGTAGCCTTTTGGCATCCACAGTTCTCCAGTGAGTTTGCAATGACGTATGTTTCCCCTCGCCGCTGCAGAGGGCCACTGGCCCGCCATGACCTACCGTGTTCTCCTGAGAGGAGGAAGTGCCGTACCCGTGACTTCACGGAACCTGATCAAGTCTCACCATGTCCGTTGCTAGGAACCCAGTCTCCAATGGCCTTCATCTCTCACCCAGGCTGCTGCTAGTGGTTTCGGTTCTTCCTTCCACCCACGCCTGCCCGCCACCATTCGCCCTCAAGACAGTCAGCCTGACCATACACACTCAACTCCTTGCAGAACATGTTGTGCAAGCTCCTCTGTTCAGCCACAGTGCGATTCCAGCCGTCTTTATCAGGCTCTGTGGATCCGGGCCCTGCCCTCTTCTGGGGGCTCGTCCCTCTTCCCTTTCCTGTATGCGCGGTGCACCACCCCCACTGCTGGGCCCATGCCCCCTAGCTCACCGTCACGCGACGCACATGCCCTGATACAACCAGATCATCCTCCTACCAGTGAGCTGGCACGTGCTTTTCTGCCTGGTGTTGACATGAAGGCTGCCTCTTAGAGGCCCTCCTGTCGCCATCACTACCTGTTGCATTGCTCCACGCCATCTTCTTACCTGTACTTGAGTCTGAAGTCCCGCAGTTCTGTCTCCTTCACTCCTGCACACCTGAGTCTTGCACAGTTCCCTGCACATACTAGACTTTCGTGTATTTGTGGCACCTGCCCCCTGAGATCACAGCCCACCTTGGAAGCAAGATCGAGGCCTCACTTTGGTTTCCCTCGTGCTGTGCCTGACAACAGCGAGCTTTCTTGTGGAGTGTGACACATGGGGAGGGGGCCATTCTGCCCTGGAAAGCTGAGCCCCTTCTCCTGACTGCCCCATCACTGCACTTTCTCCGGACAGACTCAACCCACCAACATTGCTAAGGAAAACTGCAGGCAGGCGCCAGGCATGGCGGTGCGTGCCTGCAGTCGCAGCCACTCCCAGCCTGAGGCGGGAGGCTCGAGCCCAGGATTTTGAGGCCAGCCTGGGAAACACAGGGAGACACTGTCCAAGACAAAACAAAACTGCAGGCAGCCTGAGTCACACATGGGAAAAGCAATCTTAGGGGCTGCCACTGCTCGGTGCTGTTGGTACCCACTGGCCTGAAGGGAGAAAGGCATCAGAGAGGGGAGCAGTGGGTTACAGCTTGATGTTCCCTCTCATTAGACTTCAAAATGCTCCACGACATAACTTCAGTGTCATGATCCCCACCAGGCAAAACTTCCAAAGATCGATCGTTTCTAGACACGAAATCTACTTTGGATAAAGATTCACCAGGAATATGTCCTAACACAGTACTTTTCAAGCTGCAGTGAGATCAGTGTTGTGATTTCACTGCTAGCACTTTATTTTGTTTTAATGAGATGACAGAAAATATCAAGCTGGGCTGCACTGTAACGATGGTGATGAACATCTGTGAGAACATTTGCGTGCAGGTACTAGGCGGGTTGTGCTACGAAGTTTACTTCTTCCTGTGGGTCAATGTTTTTCAACAGATGAGGAAGTCACTGGCCTAAAGTATTACTTTCACGTTTTTGTTGCATTAAAAAAAGAGAAAAGAATCCCACAGCTTAAACCCAAATCCATAGAACAGAATACACCCAATTAAAGTTTTAACAGTGGACAAAGCTCGTGTTTGGACGCTTCGTCGAAGCTGGGTAGGAGTCCTGTCTCACAGCAATCCAGCATCGGAGGATAGCAGCACACTGAAGCGGGGTGCTACTCTGGAAGCAAGTCCCCACCTAACTCTTCATCAGCAAAGTCATCCTCTTCGCTTCTTTTTCGGGCTGCAGTTTTTGGTCTTTCTACTTGAGGGCCAAGTGGGTCCACATAGGAGGCATCTAGGTTCAGACAGACAGTTATGTTAGTGTTAAAAAGAAAAACAACACACGTGAGACCAGTCAGCCGCACAGTCAGAGCTGGACAGCTCAGAGTGAACAGGGCGTCTGTCTATGTACATCGAATCCCTGGCAATTCCCAGCCACACTTCTTGCACCTCGCCGTCTCCGCAGACCCCCATGCCTGGGGAGGTGGGTGGGAGGGCCACACTTGCCTATTTCTTTGTTGCTGCTGCTCTCATAAGGGTCATTTGTCCCGGGTAAAGCTCTGAGCTTGGCACTCAGCCGCTCACTCTTACTGCTGGCACTGCAGTTCTGGCCACTGTCTGAAGACACAAAAATAAAAATGCAGTTGTTTAATATGTCAAGAAAACAACAGTACGTTATGCATCTTAAGGCACACGTGTTTGCCAGCAAACAGGCAGACTATGTCATTTGGAAGCCAGTGTCTTAGGGATGTAACCTGTTTTCCAAAATTCAAAAGAAATCGCTTGTGGCAAACCTGTCACCCAGATGAAGCATCACTGAGGTGTCGCCTTGCATGTGCCCTGCCACACGTGTGCCTAGTGCAGGTTTCCACTGCACAGAAGAACTTGAGCAAAGTTAAAAGACTGCCCTGACTACCACATCCTTGAAGGAAAAACAAGCAGGAAGACCAGCATGAGCCCTGGCACCCACCTCCTCCCGAGGCTGGCGAGAGGCTTCAAGCCACACCACAACACCTGGGACACAGCTAGGGCAGCGAACCCACCTCACACACGGGCTTTTTCAAACATGGAGAAGGTTCTTACAGAAGAGGATTCGACCTTGGCTTGATACAAGGAAGGACTTAAAAGGAATGACAGCTGCCCAAGGACAGAAAGAATACAGTCTGTATCACCGAAGGTTCTCAGGCGGGGCTGAACACTAACACGATAGGAAACACTGGCGGGTGCTTTTTAGCCTGAAATGTCTATTCATATCTTTTATGAAAGAAGGACTCTAGCCCCACAGTTTTTATTTCTTCCCCTTAAAATTCCTACAGTGGTATTTTTTTCTATTATGTAAGCCTCACTTTCAATGAGTAGTCCAATAAAATACATCGACAATTTCTTTTTTGAGTCTATTCATGTTTTAGGTACTGATACTGCCTCTGGGAAGAAATCAGGATGGTCTTTAAAATCCACACACATTAAGATGAGCCAGCTGACCCCAAGTCACATGTCCCTGCTGGGTTTTACCCAAAACATTACCCTTTCCCTATCATGGATGTTGTTGGAAAAATAAAACTCCTTGATGCACTGAAAATGTCTATGCACTTCAGGGTGTTTTAAATTATTTTGTTCCTCTCTAATTTCTTGCTAAAACAAAGTCATTTTTTCCTATTCAGAAATGTATATGGGTGTTTTTCAAACTGCCTGCGGGAGCTCAGGTCAATTAAGCTTGAAAACCATGGCTCTGGGCAATATATTTCTCGTGCTTCCCTTTTTATATTGATATGAGTCAGCAACTAAACTCTAATATTTCCTTCAGGTACCCCAAACTCTTCTGAAATCCCAATACACAATTCCCAGCTTGAAAGGCTCAAATTCTGTGGAAAAAGCAACCCTTTAAAAAATAAAACCTAGCCAGGTACGGTGGCTCACACCTGTAAACCCAGCACTTTGGGAGGCCGAGGTGAGTGAACTACCTGAGCCCAGGGGTTCCAGCTACTTGGAAGGCTGAGGCAGAAGGATCGCCTGAGACCAGCAGGTCGAGGCTGCGATGTCCATGCGCGTGCCACTGCACTCCAGCCTGGGCGACAGAGTGAGACTCTAACTAAATGAATCAATCCCGACCTCTTGAAAAACTTCAGTTGTCGCTGAAAAACCGTAAGTGCAGATTTTTAAACAGTTTCATCATTAAGACCAGTGGGAGTATATTGTAAATGCCACCGTTTACTCATTGTCAACCAACTTTCACAGAGTAACAATGCCACCCATAGGCAGGTATAATGAAGACAATTAGCATTTGGAAGTCTGTGTGGATTTTATGCTTAAATAAAATGATACAGTTTTGGAAATTATTATCTTTGTTTCACTATAACAATGTGCAATCATTATCTCCTAAAGGGCAATTAATAATATGTTCAGAAAATAAAAATTTGAAGATCAATTTATCTAACTTATCTATCAATTAACACCCAAACTTCCAATTGCTACTTTTATTTCTTTTGTTAGAAAAAAAATCTTAGAATCATAAAGTTTAGTATGAAAGAGAATCTTGGCCGGGCTCGGTGGCTCAGCCTGTAATCCCGCGCCTTTGGGAGGCTGAGGTGAGTGGATTGCCTGAACCCGCGGATTCGAGACCCGCCTGGGCAGTGAGACCTCATCTCTACAATAAATCAAAAAATCAGCCGGGCGTGGTAGCGCATGCCTGTAATTCCGGCTACTGGGAAGGCTGAGGTGGAAGGATTGCTGGAGCCCAGCAGGTCGAGGCTGCGGTAGCTAGGAGCGGCCACTGCACTCCAGTCTGGGCGACAGAGTGAGACTCCAACTCAAAATAAAATAAAATAAAATAAAAGAGAATCTTGAAACTTATCTATGCCAAAAAAAAGAATTCCTGTACAAAACGAACGAGGTCAGGAGATAATTTCCAAAGTAAACAACAAATAGCCAATAAATATATTTAAAAAGTCTCACCTTCCACAGCCTTAGAAATAGGTGAGAAAGAGCAAGTTAGAACCCTCTGGGTTGAAAGATGCCTTTTTGGAAGGCTAAAAAAGAGGACAAACTATACTGTTGATGATACAATAAAATTATATATGAAAAAGGAATGAACAAATATAAAACAAAGTATATAAAATATAAACTCACAGTGGTCAGCTGTGGGGCCACAGGAGACAGAGCGGGAGGAGACATGTTGGCACAACATGAGGTTCTGGTTCTGTCTCAGCTCCGTTAACTGTTGTTTGACTAATGTGCATCAGAACTTAGAAGTGCTACTGTATTTTTTTTCCTTTTGAGTTGGGCTCTTGCTCTGTTGCCCAGGCTGGCATGCAGTGGCACACTCACTATGATCAGGGCTCACTGCAGCCTCAACCTCCGAGGTTCCGGTGATCCTCCCACCTCAGCCTCTTGAGTAGCTGGGACTACAGGCATGGACTACCATGCCCAGTTAATTTTTCTATTTTTTGCAAAGATGAGGCCTTGCTGTGTTGCCTAGGCTGGTCTCTAAATCCTGACCTCAAGCTCCTGCCTCAGCCTCCCCAAGTGCTAGGGTCACAAGCATGAGCCACCACACCCGACCTACTACGTTCTTTTATATGACCATATTTTACAATTTAATTCTAAATGTGAGACAGTTTTACCTATTAAAATGGCAGAATATCAGGTTAGCAAGTGAAATAAACAAAAAAGCTGAGAGTAATTTGGTGGTATTTATCAAAAGATTTAGGATTCTGCAGTCAGTGAGATGGCAGAACAGGAAGTCCGAGACTTCACTCCCCCTCCCCAGAGACACCGATTTCACAATGTCCAAGCCTTTATGAGAACTCCAGAGATCAGTTAGGAAGTCAGGGTACCCCAAGCAGTCTCAAAGCCAAGACCAGTTGCATGAAACAGGTAAGAGCTGTTCCACTTAAACCATGCTGGCCCTCCCCCGAAATGACACTGCGCACGACGTGGAGAAGCCCGCACCGCAGCAGCCCACATGGCAGAAGCCCATGTCACAGCTCTGCTCTTGGGGGAAGAGAAGAGTGAGTGAACCGCCAACATTCTGGTCTCTGGGATGCCCGGGGACTCTGTTTCCATCTCACCCAACTCGAGCCCATCGCCCTGGGATGCCTGATGCCTGCTAAGACTAGACAGCTTGGGAGCTGGTTGTGGAACCGGGCCACCAGCACCGCTCTCAGCTGGCAGGAGGAGTCCGGCCATGGCTCCTCCCTTGGAGGCAAGAAGCAAGTGGACTTGTGTCCAGTGCTCTGGCTTGGGAGCAGCTGAAGGGACTGGTTCTGGCTCAGCTGACTTGGAGTGCACATGAGGAACCGGCATGCCCAGGTAGCTGGGGTCACATAGAACCAGAGTGCTCTGTAGCTCGCTGTGGCCCCAGAAGTCCTTCAGTGCTGCAGACGGGTACCAGGGAGTACAAGGGGCAAGGTCCTAACAGAGAAGTCGGCAGGCCTCTTTAACTGGAAAATCACACGGTCAAGGCCAGGGAGGAAATGCTTCCCCGTGAGAGCTTTACAAGGCCCCATACTCTCTAGCCAGGCTGACTGGTGAAGGTCTTCTTCTATACAAAGCCAGTCTGTAGAGATGTGAAGAACTGACTCTTTTTTCAAGTGGTCAGATTTCAACAAATTATAACAAAAAACAAGGATGCATAGCCCAATTAAATATATCTCCAGAAACCAACCCTAAAAAATAGAGATTTGGGTTGAACACGGTGGCTCAAACCTGTAATCCCAGCATTTTGGAAAGCAGAGGGGAGAGGATTGCCTGAGTCCAGGGGTTCAAGACCAGCCTGGGCAACTTGGCGAGGCCTTGTTGCTGCAATAAATAAGAAAAGTAGCTGGACGTGATGGCGCATTCCTGTAGTTCCGGCTACTCGGAAGGCTGAGGTGGAAGAATCGCCTGAGCCAGAAGGTCAAGACTGCAATGGCCATGAGCATGCCACTGCACTCCAGCCTGGGTGAGAGAATGAGACTCCGACTCAAAAAAACAAACAAACAAATAAAAAACAGGAGATCTATGAATTACCTGACAAATAATTCAAAATAATCATTTAAAGAAGTTCACTGTGTTGTAAGACAACTAAACAAAGTCAGGAAAATAATAAATGAACAAAGTGAAATTATGAACAAAGAGACAGAAACTTAAAGAAAACAATAAACAGAAATTTTGAATTTCTTTATTGAATTGGAAAATTCAATAAAGAGGACTGTTAGCAGACTTGATCAAGCAGAAGAAAGAATCCATTAACTCAAAAACAGGTCATTTGAAATTATCAAGTCAGAGGGAAAAAGAAAAAACAATGAAGAAAAGTGAAGAAAGTCTATAGGAATTACAGGATACCATCAAGTGGATCAATATAAGCATCAAGGGAGTTCCAGAAAGAGAAGAAAGTATAGGGTAAAGAGCTTATGTGAAGAAATAATGGCCGAAATTTCCCCAATCTGGGAAGCAACAGACATCCACATTCAAGAAGCTCAGAGGACTCCAACTATGATGAGCCCCAAAAGGCTGACACTGGCACACATTATAACCAAGCTGTCCAAAGTCGCAGACAGAGCATCTTGAAACCAGCCAAAGGAAAGGAACTTGTCACCTACAAAGGAGCACCAATAAGATTAACAGCAGATTTTTCAAAT